TTTATCTTTTATGAGTCTTGTCCCTGGTTCTTAGTCGTTGGTGATATCATCTTTTTATTACAGTGCAATTATCTGAATTTTATCTAAAAGAGATGAGCCAATTTAGCCCTTTTGACAAATCTGATAATGATAACCAAATTGATGGATAATTTAAATTTTCCACGTATCGTCCTTACAATTGAAATAAATGTATTTCTTAATATTTTTTGCTTTTTCTTCTTCCTTGAGAAACCGTGCCCAAATTAGGCGTTAAAAGATTCCATGACTATTTACCGATATTGATCTCGATCTCTGGTTGGCTCAGCTGGCTTATCATCTGCTGATTGCCAGCCCATTGACGAAGGCTTCGGAGCCATGCATATTTCTTTATACCAATTCCTCTTTTTACCTCGATATTTGTATTAAATATTAGCTGCAGTATCCAGTATCTGCTACCTTTTATTCTAGGCCTCAGATATTCAAGTTTTCTCTTTTTTATCATCTTCGTCAGGTCACCTTTGCCTTGATCCATGATATTCTAAGCATTCTACGATATGACCTCATCTCAAAGACTTCTAATTTGTTCATCATATTAACCTTCATGATCCAAGTTTCACATTTATATAATAATACACAGTAAACCTAACATTTTAGGAACATAATTCTTAGCAGCTGAGAACTGCACAGTATATATTTAAGTTTCATAAATGCTCATCTTGTAATTTCTATACGAGTTTAAATTTCTTCATCCGGATTTAGTGTCTCGTTTATCCAACAGTCCAGGTACCTATTTAAAATGATTTACTTTTTTAATTAGCTCATTGTTGACAATCAGTTGCATAGGGTCAACGTATTGTTTACTAACCACAAGTAACTATGTCATCATCATCATCATATAACGGGGGTCCTACGGCGATTGCCGCTTCCCGCATTTCAGCCTCCATCTTTTCCTATCTCTCCAATCTCCCTCTTCTAAGCCTCTAGATTGCATTGCTTGCACATGCAAGTAACTATGTCTTTGATGTATTTATGATAACTTCGTTATTAAAGAATTCTCTAGTGACTCGATCTATAAGGAATTAACGATATTTGATACTTTCAGCCATGATCGCTGTGCCATTTGATGTTGTTAATAATTTCTGCCCCAATTCGAACGTTACATTCCCCTTCCAAGGCTTCGTTAAATATTATTTCCAAGTAAACATTAAACAAAATTGGTGATAACACACAACCTTGCCTGACACCTCTTTAAATGAAAATGTTGTCTGATTATTTGCCCTCTACCAGAATAGAAGCTTCTTGATTCCAATATAGATATTGTAAAAGACTCAGATCTCTATCATCTATTTGAATCATTTCTAGATACTTAAACATCCTATTATGTCGGACCCTACCAAATGCGTTTTAAAATCTATAAAGCAGAGGTAAACTGGTTTCTGTACTTCTCATGATCTTTGAAGTAATGTTAGTTTTAAGAACAAAGCTTCCCTTGTTCCCAATCCTTCTTTAATTTCTGAAACCGAACTGTTTCCCATCGTTTCGTAACTTTCCTGCTAAATTTTATTAATATTATTATTATTAATAATAAAAAACAGTTTAAGAAACTCATATAACTAATTAGTCTAAAGTCTTTATATCAGTGGTCGCGTGCTAGCGGCAGCTCGCGGAGGCAATTCTGGTAGCTCTCACAACGATTTTAATTTAAAAAATACAAACTGCAAAAATCAGAGAAGCTTCCGAAAATTCCACAAAAAAATCTAATTCTCAGAATATTAAACATAAACAGCGGCAACGTTGCGGTGAGCAATCTGCCCCTGACGCCGTCAAGCTAGAATTGGCTATTTAAGGTCGATTCAGACACATCAGTCCCGTCACAGTCTCGGCGCCGAACCGGTCTGTTTGGTCACAGAACTATTAATTATCTGACAGATGAGAAACTGTTCGTCAACTGATGAATGTGAATACCGGCGCCATATTTCTATAAAAGAATATTTTGTATGACGGATTGTTCGGTTCGGCGCCAGAACTGTGACGAAACGTGACACGTGATGTGTCTAAATCGACCTTTATAGAACCGACCAGCCGGACCAGCGCGTTAGTGTTCGAGAATGATCTGGATTGCTTTGAACGGGATAAATACGCACGGCGCGGCGACATTGCGCTTAGTTTAAAACTGAACGCGTAACAAACGTTCAGCGGTTGGGTTAGTAGAGAACAACATAAATAATATTATGGCAAGCAGTTGTAAGAAGGTAAAGATATACCACTTTCATTCGGAATGGGAAGAACAATACTTTTAAAGATAAAAATGTGTGTTTGTTATCTAATACTTCGGTCTCCGTTGCTAGAAAAGGAAAAATTGAGAGACATCATAAAACTGTACATTCTAATTTTGAAAAATCATTCCCACTACATTCTGCCGCCAGAAAGGAGAAACTGAAACAGTTAGAAAACAGTTAATTGGACAATAATCAATATTTTTAAGAACAGTCGACAAAAATAAGGCTGCAACTGAAGCATCGTACCGTGTGTCCCAGATAATTTCACAAAAAAAAAGAAATCTTATGAAGACGTGGAAATGATAAAACAGGCGTTTTTAGAAGCTGCTAATTCGTTATTTGCCAACTTTAGAAATAAAGACGAGATAGTTTCAGCTATAAAATCTATGCAACTTTCTGCTAATACAGTGATGAGACGTGTAGAAGTAATGAGCAATTATATTTTTTACAGTTAAGAACTGACTTAGATAACTGTGTTTATTTTTCACTTCAACTGGATGAATCAACAGATGCCCAGATGGCCGTGTTCGTCAGGATGGTTTTTAGTGATTTTACGATTAAAGAAGATCTTTTGAAAGGACACACTACTGGACAGGAGTTGTTTTCTCATTTAAAAAATATTATTTCTTCCGAGAAAATTCCAATATCGAAAATGGTAGGCTTGACAACCGATGGCGCTCCAGCTATGGTGGGTTGTGATAAGGGTCTGGTGGCGTTATGTCGTAAAGATGAAACTTTTTCGCAATTTCTCTGTTTACACTGCATTATCCATCAGCAAGCATTATGTGGAAATTTCCTGAAATTAGACAACGTTATGAAACTGGTGGTAAAAATTGTGAACAAGATTAGAGCTCAAGCGGTACAAAGAAGATTATTCAGAACCTTGGCCGATGAAGTTGACTGTCAATACGGGGACCTACTCCTTCACTCTGAAGTCCGATGCTTAAGTAGAGGACGGGTTCTAAAACGTTTTAATGATGTACTATCTGGAATAGTTCAATTTTTCAAACAACGCGATGAACCGACTCCGGAACTAGAAAATTCAATCTGGCTTAAAGATTTTTATTTTCTCGTGGACATTACAGAGAAATTAAACAAACTTGATTTGCAGCTTCAGGGGAGAGACAAAGAACTAGCGGAAATGATTTCTGATATAAAAGCATCAAAAATCTTGAGTTTTGGGAACAAAACCTAATTAACAGCGATTCCAAGCATTTTCCTATTCTTTCAGAAAAAATATCTCAAAATCCATTAGAACCCTATGACAACAAATATCATGTAGAAATAATTTCTACTCTGAAAAGTAACTTCAAAAATCGTTTTAAGGATTTCAATGAAATGGCTTTAGTAGCGCAGTTTGTTGTTTCCCCCTTTATGGAAATTGATATCCAGCAGTTTGCAGCTTGTGTTATACAGAACTTTGGCGAAGACATCGCTGCAATAGAAATGGAAGTCATTGAGTTTCAAAATGATTTAGCCTTGAAATCGTTAGTCTCAAGTACTGAATGTATCTGGCCTATTATAAGTAAAGACAAATATTCAGTTCTATGCCGTGTTGCCTTGAAAGTGAAAGCATTATGCAGTTCAACCTATTTGTGTAAATCTTCTTTTTCCAATATGATGTTTATTAAGAACAAATATCGCAATCGACTTACAGATAAACCTTTGGATAATTGTATTCGAATGGCTGCATCAAATTATACTGCAAACATTAAAAAAATTATCGATGAGTCTGAGTGTCAGCCTTCTCATGAACGTGCTTTTTTATTTTTCAATATTTATGTTTACTTTTTTGTTATTATTATTAACTATTTTTAAATCATACGTGACATGCCGTCGTGACGTGGCTGGATAAAACTTTGTGTTTATTTTTCAAATACCTTCGTTTGATAGGTAGGAATGTAGCTAAGAACAAGTAGGTACTGGTAATATTAGTTATTTTGTTATTAGTTTATTATTAGTACCTATGTATTATGTATTACCAGTTAAACAAGAAAATAAATACATATAATGATAGATGTGGATTACTTTATTTACGTTGCGTTACGTGGCTTCCGTGTGGGTAGTTCGCTGTTTATTCCAAAATTAACAAAGTAGCTCAACACATTGAAGAGGTTGGCGACCACTGCTTTATATGATAATATATTAGGTATTTTGGGGAGTGAGATAAAGTAAACTCCAACCATATTTACCATTTTTTTGCTTTGTGTAATAACTTTCTCTACTTCCGAAATTAAAATACTAGGAGCAGTATTCGTATACTTTGAGGTATTAAATTGTGGCCTCGTATCCATAAAGAGCTCCTTTATGTAATAAGTCCATTCTTCCTTTTTTTCGTTCATTTTACCTTTGGAGTTTCTTATGAGAAGTATTCTTCGAGTTTAGATAATTTATTTAAGTCTTTGTGCATATTAAACTTATCATGTTTTTGTAGTTCTTTAACCTCACAACATTTTTGTTTTATCCAGGCTTCTTTTGCTTGGTTAGCTTCGTATCTTTTTTTTCGATATGTTTCTATACATCAAGTCTCGCCTTTATTTTTTTACTTGCTTCTTTGTTGAATAAGATCTAGTGTATTATCTGTCATCGAATCCTTTTTTATTGCTTAAATATTCTTAATTGCTTTCTATCAGTGCTATAAAAAGTCTAGTGAAAATTAAGTAATACACACACGAAAAATATTTTCTTTGTTAATATATTTATCCTTATTATTATGCCATCTACCTATAAAACTAAATTTACCTGAATATGATCCATATTGACTTCTCTCAAATAACTAGGGTTTTCGAAAGCAATTCCATTTGAACTCTTGATTCCTAACATCTTCTTGTTTCTCATAAACCACACAGCTCCCGCGAAAATGGCAGCAACTACAACTAGTGCCAAAATAACAGCTACAATTACTCCTACATGTCCATCGTGACCTTCCTGGCTCGCCGCAGAAGTGATGTATTTATCGCTCATTGTGAATTTTAAGGGTTCGGTTAGGGTGGATGTTCCCTTGCTGTTTCCTGCTTTTATAACGAGAGCATATGTTGCACCAGCTAAAATAAACATTTTGATTTAAAATTATTATAAAAATAAAAAACTACATAAATAATAAATTAATAGTTGCAAATTTAAAGCGCATTACATATTACTACTATATTAAGAAAAGGCGTTTGCTGCCAATTATTTTCCCTTTCACCATCCTGCGGAGAGTTTTCTACTCTCTATATAACATTGTTAACTTTACGTTATTATATCATCTTCTATTAATACATAAATTTAAAATCGATTTAATTTTTAAAGCCCTTAATTAAATGCTTTTATCTATGACTAAAATAAAATCTGACTATTATATTTAGCAGCATGCTATACATTATTCCCCTATGTAATAATGACGACGATGTCATGTCAGTGTCAAATAAATCGAATTTAGTATTTTAATGAGTATTTGTATATATATATATATATATATATATATATATATATATATATAAGAGTAAGAAAAAAGAAAGAAGTACTTGTGACTCGTTTGGAAAAAATATAACACTGTTTTTGATGGGTTGGAGTCAATAAAAGGGGCTATTTGTTGACTATTTTTTACTCGAGCTTTCAATTGTGATTACAATTTTTATCAAGAGCTTCTAAAAAATACAAAATGTCTTACAAAGTTGAACTAGAAATAAAAAATTTTTTGTTAACTCACCAAATAAAATTAGTTTTTTATATAAAACTACTGCTTACATAATAAATACAAAAAATATTAATAAAAAAATGTCTTATTCTAACAAATGTTTCTCTGAAAAATTTAGATGAAGTTTCTTAAGAAAAAAAAAATTGAAATTATAAACAAATATAGAATAGCTACAACCAGCCTAAAACGTCATAAATACTAACTTAAAAATTTTTATTTTTTAACATATTGTCAAAAATTTTTAAGTTAGTATTTATGACGTTTTAGGCTGGTTGTAGCTATTCTATATTTGTTTATAATTTCAATTTTTTTTTTCTTAAGAAACTTCATCTAAATTTTTCAGAGAAACATTTGTTAGAATAAGACATTTTTTTATTAATATTTTTTGTATTTATTATGTAAGCAGTAGTTTTATATAAAAAACTAATTTTATTTGGTGAGTTAACAAAAATTTTTTTATTTCTAGTTCAACTTTGTAAGACATTTTGTATTTTTTAGAAGCTCTTGATAAAAATTGTAATCACAATTGAAAGCTCGAGTAAAAAATAGTCAACAAATAGCCCCTTTTATTGACTCCAACCCATCAAAAACAGTGTTATATATATATATATATATATATATATATATATATATATATATATATAAATTATGATTTTTGAGGATGCAGTCAGTTTATTTGGCCCACAAGACAAAGAAAACTCTTTGACTTACTGTCAAGCTTTCGAATTTTATTTAATTCTTTTTCAAGACATTTATAAAAAGAAATATAAATTAACTAGTTAAAATTGTTAATTGTCTTACTTACTAGTCGTGAGATTATAGTTGTTAATACTATTGTACTCCACAAAACAAACCATTATAAATATATTAAAAATTTTGTATTAAAAATAACTATATTGTCATTGTATATGTCATACAATTCTACAAGAAATAAGCATAACATCTCAATGAATATAAAGGAAGCCATCGGAGAAAACATGAATGTTAAAAATATAGTAGGCTATGTAAAAGACACTGGTTTATACCGAGTGGTCCTTAAATAAATGTAGACGTAGATTTAACACTTTAAAATATTACGATTTAAGCCAAATTGCTTTAATAAAATGTTAATATTTAGAAAGATACAGGGTGTTAAAGTAGAAATTTAAAATTTTAATTTTTGCTATAACTTTCATGTTTGTGAATATTTATGTATAAAAATTTACAACTGGGTACTATTGAACATTAGGAATTACAATTTGATTCATACTTTAAAAGCAGCTCATAGAGGGCGCTACATATGCCACATATGTGGCATACATTTGCACTTAACTTTTTTGCTCTTTAAGTTACCGGTGTTTGTGTTAAAAAATATTAAAGATATATTATTTTGACAAAAAAAGGTATACTTGTTAATAACTTCAAAACTCAACAGTTTTCGAGATAATCGCATTTTACAAATCAACTACATAATTCTGATTTAACACAATTACTCCAGGCAACGAAAGAAAATTAGGCAAAAACATTTAATAAAGGTAATAGTTAATGCAATAATAAATAAAATAAATATATCAGCAGGGTAGTTAATACTAGGATTTGACAAAATAACAGAATAATTGGATTTTACATAAAACATTTTACGTTTTGTATTAAATAAATTCATAATTAAAATATTTTATTTATAAACCAAATTAAGAAATAGTTAAACTAAATAACATTAAACTTTTTGTCAGAGTAAGTGTTCGATATGTCCACCATTTTTTAAAATTTATTTGTTAATATATTCCATAAAAGATCGTCTTATATCAAATAGCATCATTGGTTCTAAAGAAACTGCTGCCGTATTTATAATAAGTATTATAAGTATACCATCTAATAAATATAATATAATAATAAAGTACACGTTAGGGATTTTTATGAATTAAATAATTATAATTATTATCTTACCACATGTCCAAAAAATATGACTACCATGAACAATCCAACATTCAGGAAAGTTGTATTTAATTATGTTCTCACCTTGTTCTCTCTATAATGTGGTGGTGTACTATCTTGCATGAACCATATATTTTGCCTTAAGTTTGTTGAAAATTTTTCCAATAAATCAATAAAATCATTTTATAAAAAATGTAAATAAATTTCACAGGTAATTCGCATGCCCGTAAAAATAGTTACAAAAGGTACCAAACCATACGATATGCATTTTAAACATGAATTTTAAATAAACGTATGGTTTGGAACCATTGTTCGTGGTAGTCATATTCCCTGGTCATGTAGTAAGATTAGAGATATAATTACTTAATGCATAAAAATCCTAAAAGAATACTTATTATTATACTTATAATACTTAAATTAAATACTGCAACAGTTTATTTAGAACCAATGATACTATTTAATATAAGACGATCTTTTATGGAATGTATTGACAAATGAATTAAATAACTTACTTTGACAAAAAGTTTAATGTTATTTAGTGTAACTATTTTTAATTTGGTTTGTAAATAACATTTTTTGATTATGACCTTAATTTAATACAAAACGTAAAATTTTTGATGTAAAATCCAATAATTCTGTTATTTTGTCAAATCATATTGTAAATTATCCTACTGATATATTTATTTTATTTAATATTTCGTTAACTATTAACTTTATTAAAGGCATTTTATATCAAATTTCAGAAGTATTGATGTTTTTGTCTAATTTTCTTTCGTTGCCTGGAGTAATTGCGTTAAATCTGAATTATGTAGTTGATTTTTAAAATGCGATTATCTCGAAAACTGTTGAGTTTTGAAGTTATTAACAAGTATACGTTTTTTTCTATTAAAATAATGTATCTTTAATATTAAATAAAGGGCAAAAAAGTAAAGTGTAAATATATGCCACATATAATTCATAAGTGGCGCCCCCTATATCAGCTTAATTAAAGTATGCATCAAATACAAACAGGAAAGTTATAGCGAAAATTAAAATTTTGAATTTTCAATTTAACACCCTGTATCTTTCTTAATATCAACATTTTATTAAAGAAATTTGGCTTAAATCGTAATATTTTAAAGAGTAGAATTTACGCTTTCTTTTTGTACAATTACTTAAGAACCACCCTGTATAAGTTATTGTAACATTAATTGCTTTATATTTAAGGTCGATATTAATCCATGTGATTGCAGCGAACAAATTAATAAAAAATATATTACCTCTAAGGTTTTGAAATTTAATATGCGTTGTAGCTGTATCTGCTGTGAAATTCTCTTTACTATGTGGATCGTTTAACTTGAGCATCACCCTGTATAGTTCGACAGTGTGAGGGTTTTTGATTGGTGGACTCCAGTTGATATTTACAGAATGGGAATCGATGAAATCTACGTGGATATTCTGCGGTGGCCCAGGTAACTTATCTCTGAAAAATCAACAAAATAAATAATACAAAAAATAACAGAACAATGGGGAATCAAAAGAGAACTGCATGAAGAGGGATAAGGAAAAACGATAGGAAAGAGAATATTGAATAGGAGATATAAAAATAACAAAAATTAAAATATGATAAAGAAAGAACTAATAAAAGTAGGAAAGATATAATGAGAATGATATATAAAAGTAGATTGACAACAAAAAGTTTCATGAGAAGAAGAAAAAGAAAGAGAAAAAAGAATCATTAGAAGCAGAAAAATCATAAGGCAAAGAGCAAAAAGTAAAATAAAGGGACGAACCAGGTGTAGATGAATATACATTTCATTGTTGTGAAGCCCTGTGATTAGGTTAGCCAACAATAGGATAGGTTAAATTTATAGACAAAATTTATAGACACAGTTAAAGTTAAAATGTAACAATTTCATGACAGAGATAACAAATAACCAGGAGGGCGGCGAAAAAGTTAATAGTAGCCAGACGCACGCATGAAAATATGTATGTGATATGATGGCCAAAGGTAAAACTTAAAAGTGCTTTTACCAAACTAAGCAAGATGCAAAGAATTGCCAACCTATAAATTACAGGGGCACTTTGGAGCACACCAGCAGCTATGGAGGTCCTATTGGTCCTCGCTTAGCAATGCAATAGTTAGATCAGAGCATGGAAACGTTAAAAATGGAGTTAAGATTACCAAATAGATGATGACTTCTGACCATATTCTGACCCGATTCAGGTCTAAAGTACATTTTTAATTGGGAAGGAAACCCACGACCTAGACTGTAGGGTTAAGTGAATAAATATATACATAAATAGCCAAGCGGCCATTAATGTTCTTGCAAGCCGTAAGGTCGATTTCAGGTTAGTGTAGGAATTCTGAGCAGATTTCGTCAGACTGCTGGAATAGCGTCATACTCGTATGGGTTTAGTATTTCGGGTTTACCATATTTTTCATGATTAAAAGCTATTAGATCGTAGGGGGCAAAAGCTTTAGAGGTTATAAGGTCACTCCAGAAACCTATGGAATCCATCTTTTAGACCTGTATACTATTTGATAGAATGTTTCATAATTCTGAAATGGGTATCATAAGTAAATAAAAATGTATAACTAGCCAACTTTCTTAATAACACAGACTTATAACAGACGGCTTAAAAGGAAAAAAAGAGCAGAACGCAAAGGGTAATAAATAGGTAAGGACAATTTAAGACAATGTTTTAAATATTAGCAATAAAAATAATTCGTAAATTTCGATTAAACAAACATACCGTCCTTCGTGGAAACAACTCATGATCTGTTTGGTGTGAGCCAAAACACAAGCTTTATTGTTTAGCACGGGCTCTCCTCTGCACCAGTCCAGACATCTCCTCGAAACTTTTTGGTGGGCACAACAACTTCTATGGTCCGAACCATCACTAGCACATTTCATTAACTTGCCAAAATCTTGAACACATTCCAACTTATCTATCACAGCATCTATGTCTAGATAAAACGAGCAGGCATCCATGCATGGTGAAGTGACGTTTTGTTCTAGGCAGCATTGAGTCAGATTGTTTACAGAAGCCAGATTTCTAATTCTTACTGACACCGGCTGTGTAGAGCTGCCAAAAGCATTTTCCGCATGACAGTAGTAATCCCCGACGTCCATGTCAGTGATTTGCTTAATGGTGAGCTGCATTATATATTTATCGTCTTCGTCTTTAACGGGTTTTGCAGTAATATCGTATTTTCCACCCTGAATAACTGGCGTTCGGTCTTCGTGGTTCCTCCAGAAAATCATCTTGGGCTCTGGTTGAGCTTCTACTTTACATTCTAGCGTAACGGAATCACCGATGGTTGTCATGGTTATACCACTTGCTTGAATATGTGGACCATCTAAAAATATTAAAAATGAATTATAAACTCTCTTATTTACTAATTTACTAAACATATAAAAAATGTCGTTTAAACGACTTTTATTTATGATCTTATTGAAACTGATCTACAACGATAATTGTTTTGCTATTATTGTATATTATCTAACTTACGACTTATAATAATTTTTCTGGAAGCCTGCATAGGAGTGCCATAGCCATTATCAGCGTAACAGGAGATCTGGTTCATATCTTTAGTAACGTTATGTATCACTGTGACCATGTGCCTTGTTGTTTCTTGTCTAACAAGTCTGCCAGATATGTATAAAGATATCGTGGGCATTGGTGTGCCCATTGCTATGCAAAGAATTGTCATGCTGCTGCCTTCTATTACTAGATTTATGGGATGAACTGTTGGAGGCTAGAAATATAAATCAACATATCATATATGAAAATATTAAGTATATAAAATTATTTAACGTACGTAGCGTACTTCTAGGAACTACTACTACTTGGCAAATTTGACTTCTGAGATGCGCAAACAATACGTGAGCGAGATAGCAGAAATGCATGAACACTCGTGAAGCAGTTTTAGTTATTAAATATTTTTAAAATAAAATCAGGAGAATTTCGTCACAGATTTTGTTTAACGAATTCTACATAAGATTTTTATTTACATTTTTTGATACAAAGTGAAATTTATTTTACAAATTCTTTATATCAATAATTATACAGTGAGTCCAGACACACTCCTGGCAAATAAAGACTGGAGAGTCATCAGATAATTTTAAGACGATTTAACTCAATTCACCTAGTCCGAAAATGCTTCCTAAGGGAGCTAGAGCTCTTTAAAAATGGCGCATTGTAATTTGGGTGCCTATTCGTTTCGAATATTGGCTTCATTCTGGCTATAATTATTTTATTAACTGATGCTTTACATATATTAGTTGTTGTTTTGAAGAACCATTTCCTCAGGATTTTAACCATGATATTTTTCTTTTCCCAATTCCTCGCTTTCCAAATACTTTGCCTTGAAGGATTATTTTTAGTAATCTGTATTTAGTACCGTTTCTCAATATGTATCCGAGATATTTTAACTTTTTTCTTTTAGTTGTATACATTACTTTTTTTTGGAAGCGGGCTATCGAGAGGATTCCAAATTAGCAAAGGCCTAAAACAAGGGTGCTGCCTTTCACCGACATTATTTAAGATCTACCTCGAGCAAACTCTAAAACTTTGGAAACGCAAATGCAAAAACATGGGATTACCGATCAACAACAATACAATATACACTTTGTCATTTGCAGACGACCAACTTGTACTAGCGCAAGACTACGATGATATAGAATATATGACAAGGAAATTAATAGAGGAGTACAAAAAAGGTGGTTTGAAAATAAACATAAAAAAGACCGAATATATGTGTATCGGTGGGACACAGCAGGACCTTACACTGGGGAATGGCGAAATTATTAAACATTGCGACGCATATAAATACCTGGGTATGACCATCACACAAGAAGGAAACGTAGACGGGACGATAGAAGAAAGAAACAACCAGGGAAGAAACGCAATTACCCTTCTCAATAGCATACTGTGGGACCAGGCAATATCAAACAACAACAAACATAGAATATACAATACAATTGTTAAGAGTATAATCACTTACAGCAGTGAAGTATGGCAAATAAAAGAAAGATACAAGAGAAAACTTGATGCAACAGAAATGGATTTCTGGAGGCGCTCAGCAGGAAAATCAAGATTAGAAAGGGTAACCAACAACAGAATTAGGGAAATAATGAATGTGAAACACACAATAGTAGATGACATTAGTACCAAACAGCTTAGACGGTATGGACACGTACAAAGAATGTCCGAAGAACGACTCCCGAAACAAATCCTAACGTGGACCCCTCACGGTAGACGAAAAAGAGGAAGACCCCGCCTTAGTTGGAGAGAAGGCATAAATCGAAGTATGAGAGAAAGAGAATTAGATGAAGACCTTTGGATGGACCGAAGTGAATGGCGACTAGGCATCGGAAGACGTAGGAGAACGTTTTTAAAACCGATATATATATATATATATATATATATATATACATTACTTTTTTTCTTTCCCCATTATTCGTAGTACTGTCTTGTTCGTTTTCTTTTCCGTTCATGATATTCTTAGGATTTTTCTGTATAGCCACATTTCGAAGGCTTTGAGTTTTTTGTCCATCGCTTCAGTGAGTGTCTAGCATTCAACTCCGTATTATAATATCGAGAAGATATAACATTGTAGAAGCCTTACTTTTATCTCCAGATCAAAGTTGTGGCTTTTAATGAGTTCGGTCATGTTGATGACTGCACTCCTAGCTTTTTCTATTCTACATTCTACTTCTTGTGAGTGATCCCATTGTTCGTTTACTATTGTTCCAAGATAGATAAACTGTTTTACTCGGTCCACTGATGTATTCTTTACAAGCAGTTGGACGTCTCTAATTTTATTTTTGTTGATGAGCATAAATCTAGTTTTTGATATGTTTACTTGTAGTCCAAATCATTCACTTACTTCATTTACTTTATTTATTAGTTGCTGTAAACTGTTTAAACTAACTGCAAAAATAACGGTGTCATCTGCATAGCCGTTTTTGTTTGGACGATCTCCATTTAAAAGGATTCCATGTACGCAATTTTCCAATATATATAATAACGGATTGATTACGGCTCTCGCCGCTTCTCCTCCCCCAATTTCCATCTATTTCTGTCATATGCAGTTGCCTCTTCTAAGTCTCTTGCCGCCATTGCTTCATAAATATCGTTACGCCAACTACTTCGTGGTCGTCCTCTCTTTCTTCTTTCAGGAGGGATCCATTCCAGTACTCTTCTAGGCCATCTGTACTCTGGCATTCTTTTAACATGTCCGAACCAGATTAATTGTTTTCTTTCTATGTCAGCATTGATATTTCGCTCCATTTTCATTTCGTTTCTTATTTGTTCGTTTCTAACTCTTTCCAGTTTCGATCTACCGCAGCTTCGTCTCAGATAATCCATTGCTGTAGGCATTAGTTTGTTTTTATTAGCTTTGGTGACGTCCCATACTTCGAACCGTAAAGTGTAATACTTTGGACTATACTACCGTAAATGTGTTTTTTGGTTTCTCGTCGAATTGTTTTTTGCCAAAGAAGAGAGTTTAAAGCACGGATCACTGCTCTACCCTTGTTTATTCTTTCCCTGATTTCATCTGCGCTATTTCCCGTCTTGTTGAAAATGACCCCCAAATATTTGCAGAATTGCACGCCTTTGATTTTGTCGTCTTCCAAGACTAGGTCACATATTTGAGCTGCTCCAACTGATAGATATTCACATTTTGTTATATTCATGTTTAGACCTGCCACCTCATATTCTTCTTGCAGTTTTCTTACCATTTAGCTAAGATCGTCGCTGTCTTCGGCAATTACTACCTGGTCATCCGCAAAGAAAAGTGTATATAGCGTGTTTTCTTCAACCGTTATTCCCATGTTTCTACATTTTTTTACACATTTCACTAAGGATCTGTATAAATAGATTTTAAATAAGGTGGGTGACAGACAGTAGCCTTGTCTTAGTCCTTTTTTTTATTTGAAAAGGGAAGGTGATTTCTTTACCTATTTTAATTCTTGCAAACTTTTGTTCGTAGTATTTTTGAGTGGCGTTAATAAGAATTGGTTTTATTTTCAAGTTACTCATTTCTATTCATAGTTGGGAGATCGGTACACTGTCATATGCTATTTCCAAATCTATTGAAGCTATATGGGTTTCTCTATTTCTCTGCACTCGTTTTTCCGTTGCAATTTTTGATGTGAAAATATGATCCATAGGGGAGCGTCTGGCACTAAATCCCGCTTGTTCTTCGGGTTGTTTGTCTTTAATGTCATTCTCTATCAGCTTTCGTAGTACTTTTGAGTATAGTCGGCCTATAGTAGCAATCACTGCGATCCCTCTATATATTTTAGGATCCGTCTTTGTGCCTTTCTTGTATATTGGAGAGATATACGATTGTCTCCATTCTTCTGGAACTTCTTCTTCGTTTAAACATCTTTCGAATAATTTTCGGATCATTTCAAAGAGTTTTGATGATCCATACCTAATCAACTCTGGATTTATTCCGCCTAGGCCAGGCGATTTTCTTAATTTCATTCCCTTAACTTCTTCTTTCACTTGTTCTATTGATATTTCTATTCTTCCTTCTACTTCCACTTGTTCATGTGTCTGTTTAAACCTTTCTCTTTTCTCTGTTAATAAGTTGAAATGCTCTACATATGTGTTCTCTGGTATTCTATTTATTATGGCTTGGTTTTTTGTCGTTGTTCTCATCGTTTTTATAGTTCTCCAGGCTTCAGAGCTCTTCGTTCCTCCTATATGGTTGTCTAGGTATTGGCATGTTTGTTCCCATGCACTATTTTTCTTTTTAACCACTTCTCGTTTGACTTCATTATTCAAGTTTTTATACTGTTGTTTTGTTTGTTCGTCGCAATTTTCCAATGCTTCACTAAATATTTTCTCTGAATATAAGTTGAACAGGTGGAAGTATAAATCCTTGTCTAACGCCTCGCACAATCTGGATAGCTTCCGTCGGTTCATCTTCAAGATTTGTTCTTATTGTGGCTGATTCTCTATATATCTATACAGCTCTTACTGTCCAATTTTGGACATAGGCCTCCTCTCCCTTCTTCCACATCTCTCTATTGTAGGCAGTTTGTATCCACTTCGGGCCTGCGTGTTTCTTCAAGTCAACTGACCATCTCATTTGTGGCCTTCCTCTTTTTCGTTTGTAACTATTTGGTCTACAGTGTATAACATCTTATTCCATCTGTCGTCTTTCTGTCTTATGGTATGTCCAGCAAACTTCTACTTAAGTTTTGCTATTTGCGTTGATACATCGGTCACATTTGTTTTGTTGCGGATTCAAGCATTTCTTTTCTTGTCTGATAGTCTGATGTTCAGCATTTACCTTTCCATAGCTCTTTGGGCCTTTGCTATTTTTTCCATGTTTTTCTTTGTACACGTCCAAGTTCTCAACCGTAGGTGAGAACAGGAAGTATACATTGGTTGAAGACTCTTGTTTTTAAATATTGGGGGTATTTTCTTTTTTTTTTTTTTTTCGTATATAGGAAAGTTTTTCGAATGATACCCAAGCCAGTCATATGCTTCTCTTTGTTTCTTCGGTATGATTTTCTTTATTTAATTTAACTAGTTGTCCCAAATATACATATTCTTTTACTTGTTCTATAGTTGTTTGTACAATTGTAATTATTAATTTTTCTGGTTGGTTGGTCATAATTTTCGTTTTATTATAATTCATTTGTAGAACTATTTTTGTTATATCGCTATTTAATTCATCCATCATATTTTTTAATTCTTCCCTTTTATCTGTTATTAATACAACTGGATTATCATGTCTGACTCCTCGCCGTATCTTAATAGGCTCCGTTTGTTCAACTATTTTAATGGATGTTGTTGCTTGATCATATATATTGGAAATTAAGTCTGTATATCTATAGTCTACTCTCCCATTTTGTAAAGAGTTCTTTGCTACCTAATGTTCCACCTTATCGAATGCTTTTTGAAAGTCTACAAATGCCATATACATTGGGATTTGATATTCGTTGGCCTTTTTAATTAATAGTTTTATCGTAAGCAGATGGTCTTTTGAACTAAATCGTTTTCTAAAACCGGCTTGCTCTCTTGACTTGTAATTATCTAACTTAGTTGTTAATATGTTTGTTAGTAGTTTAGTTAATAGTTTGCACATTACATTAAGTAGCGTTATGAGCCTATAGTTTTTCAGATCTTTTCTATCGCCTTTCTTAAATGGTAATCGTGTGTCTGATTGGTTCCAGTATAAATTTTGTATTATGCGCCGGTATTTATTGAAACATCCATCATTTTTCGGTGTTTAACTGTGTCAAATTCTTTCTGGTAGTCCACAAAGCAGGTGTAGATATCGCAAGTCATATCTCTGTATCTTTGGAATAATACCTGTAGACCAAACAATGCATCTTTCGTACCTACGCCTTTCATAAATCCAAACTGTGTATCTTGTATTCTCTCTTCGCATAGCTTGTATATTCTGCGATGTATAATTCAAAGAAAAAGTTTTAGTGCATGGCTGGTTAGCACTAGAAGCACCAGAGCGGTCATTTTGACTGCTTTTCATTTTTGACACTCTGTATTACCTTTTCATAAATGTTTTAGAAACTTGATAATGTATGACTTTTCCTAGATCTATTTGAAGATTATAATTTCTCTTTTATAGGTACTTAGCGTAATTACTTTTTAAGATATGGTAACATATACCTAGAGCTACCATATAGCAGTCATTTTGACTGCTTTCTATTTTCGACCCTCATTAGTCTGGAGTATTATTCATTCATATTTATTTTACAAAATTTATGATTTAGGACTTTATTATTTACTTAAAGATTATAATTTCTCTTTTACAGGTACTTAGTATAATTACATTTTAAATATATTGATGTTGATGTCTACGTAGAAAAATGCAGTCCTAATGACGAGGTAGTCTAATTTTTGTTCTACTTTTCTGGGAAGTTTTTACTTATTTTATGTATAAAATACATCGAAAATATTTGTTATTATGTAGTTTGAGTATACTCTTTGCAATTGCATGTTCAATCTGTATTTTGATTAATTTTACATTGTGATTTTTATTATTTCTGCTGTTATCATGTCTCGTTGATATTTGACTCAGTAGGAGTTATTAAAGTGTCTACAGAATTTGTCAGAAGATGAATCTGTAGCACAGTTATCTGATGAAGATGTATCCGATAATGAAGTTGACGAGTATGTGCCTAATACAGTTGATCAAGGACATTCATCGGGCAGTGATTCTGAAGGTGAAGTTGAGATTAAGGTGATGCCCAGTACTTCTGCTTCAACTTCAAATGCAGACTTCAATACATCTTCAGAAATGATTACCAACCAGGTAAGAGGAATTCGCAGAAGCAATTTAGAGAATTCTTCCATAGACACCATAGGATGGGAGTTACTTGACAACAATGCTAGTACACCAGGTAAGCAACTATATTATATTAGTAGCTTCTATTTATGTATTCACTTAGGTGTATAATATTTTTTTCATATTCTTCTTGATGTCACGAATATTGACGATAATGATGGCAATATTTACCTTATCTGCAGGATGTTCTTCTTCTTGGACCCCGTTTTCCAAATATTTTTCCTTGCAGGATGGCTTGTAGAAGGGCGCATCTAGATTCATTTTGCACAATGTTTTCGAAATATTGTTACTTTCCAGCTTTGAAATTTTGATTAATAATTATACTCTTAAAAAAGTTATATTCACTAATACTTAGTACGATCCGTGTAACTAGCGCCCTCTATAATAATCAGATATAAAAACAAATTCAGCTTCCAAAACATATTCGTATAAAATTTCATTACAATGTTGTCCGTAGTTTCGGCAAAATCGTAAAAAATGCGTATTTTTTTTTCTTCAACGCCCTGTATCTTGAAAACGGGTGGCGTTACAAAAATTTTTTACTAAGCAAACCCCAATTATTTCTCAGTTTTTTAATTACACTAGAGACAGGGTTATCTTTTTTTGAAACACCCTGTATATGAAGTAATAAAACCATGAATTCTTTTTAAATAAGCTCTAAAACGTAAATGTAAAAAAATGTTTTTTAGACATGGTAAAAATGTTATCGACAAGTGAGCCTTTTTATTAATTTAATTCCAATATCGCTAAATATAGGAAAACCTTGAAAAGGAATTAACAAAGCATTTTCTTTTTAAGTACCTACCTAAAAACTTCATTAAAAATTACTTACTTCGACAAAAGCCGGGTAAGCTGGATCAGTCCAAGCTATTAAAGTTTCCGAGGGCATACTAACCCCTTTTTCTGATACGGCTTGAATGTATACGATGTACTGAGTGTTGGGATTCAAACTGTTTAGCATGTAGGAATTTACTGATACGTTCTTCGAATGGAATTGTTCTTCGGCAGTGGATTTGTGGAACACTCTAAAATATGTTAATTAGGATAAATATTTTAGAGAAATATTATTTATAAACAAATTTTTTTAATCTTTAATCGTTAATAATATATGCATAAATAATTTTTTTTTAATCTTTAATGATATATGTATGTCTTCTAAAGCTCTGGAGGGATTAGGAAATGCCGAAAGGTCTTAATTCCAGTGAAAGAAAAATCCAAATTTGCAACCTCCACGTGGTAGAAGATGGGCAACATCTATCTATAGATGGCCAATGCAGATAGGGACCGAGCGATTGCAGGTATAAGCAATCTCTCACTTACTGACCAACGGCTACGGGCGGATGAGTTGGTAAGTGATAGGGCACTCTTTTGCCCTGGAGTTGAGAAATCGTCTCCAAAGGCGGATAAACCAAAGGAACGGTCAACGGCAGAAGGATGTACAAGGCAACGAGAAACCACTACATTAAAGATCTGTAAATAGATATGTCTTGTCAATTATCATGGCTCCTATAAATGACAATTTCACAACTACTGTTCATGGACATCGGATACCAAGATCCGGCAGGGGAGGCAATTCTCAGTTAGACCGCGGTGCCTCCCAGGTCGCCAACATGCGAAAACTCCGCGTCAGGCACAAAAATATAAACGAACTGCAGATAGATACCTGGAATGTGAAGTCTATATATAAAGCAGGGAAGATCCACAATGTAATACATGAGATGAGGCGACTTAAAGTTAATATAATGGGACTAAGCGAGACCAGATGGCCTAGATCTGGCGAAATCGAAGTCGACGGTGCCAAAATATACTATTCAGGAAATGAAGATATTCACTACTATAATGGCGTCGCTATAGTGGTTGATCGCAGTTTCTGCCAAGCTGTAACTTGTTTTGTTCCTATATCGGATAGAATGTTAATGATCACAGCCCAAACAGCGCATAAAACTCTTAATATCATACAGGTGTACGCCCCCACTGAAGATAAATATGAAAATGAAATAGAAGAGTTCTAGAATGGCATTAAAAAAGCACTAGAAAGCACCAATAATAGAGATATAATAATAACAATGGGGATTTTAATGCCAAATTAGGAAAAGGTAAATTCCAAGACATTATTGGTGAATTCGGGCTAGAAATAAGGAACGAAAGAGGGGAAAGATTGACGGAATTCTGTCAGGAGTTTGAAATGATAGTGACAAATACATTTTTTTAGTTACCAGCACGTAGATTATGTACATGGAAATCACCTAAGGATAGCAAAGAAAAAATTATCAGAAACCAGATAAATTATATCCTTATCAATAAGGTAAACCGTAACTCCATTAAATCGGCAAAGACATATCCAGGAACAGATGTGTTATCAGACCACAATCCAGTAATCGTAAAATTCGAAATCCACTTAAAGAAAATACAAAAAAAAACAACAAAAGACACAACAAATAAGCACTCTGCTAAAACACCCGAATACAAAAGGAGAACTAACGTTCAAAATAACCGAGGAGTTAAGCAAAACAATAATCAATGATAATAAAGATTCCAACGAAAAATGGGAAACATTTAAGAACACATTAATGATGCCCATTAAAGATACAATGAGTAGTTATAAAATCGATGAAGCTAAGACTCCATGGATGACAGATGAGATCCGGCAACTAATGAACAAAAGAAGATCACACAAAAACAAAAATGTAAACGAATACAAAGCCACACACAAGGAGATCAGGATAAAAATACAAGCAGCTAAAGAAAAGTGGTACAACGACCAAGGTTTAGAGATAGAAGAACTCCAGAGAAATCATGATAGTTTTGAACTGCAAAAAAATTAAAGAATTAGCAGATATAAGACGGTCCAACAATAGTAACACCCTGGTTGATACGAATGGTAAAATAATATCTGATGTCAAAGGCAAACTAAACAGATGGAGAGAATACGTTCAAGAATTGTTTGAGGATGACAGGATACAACAAGATAGCATGAACGATTACGAGGAATATGATATAGGTCCAAATATAACTAAGGATGAAATAATACATGCAATAAATCTGGCAAAATCTAATAAAACTGTGGGACCTGACACAATTCCAACTGAAATAATTAAATTAATATCAGAAGATCAGATCAACGTATTAGTAGACTTATATAATACTATATATAATACGGGTATTATTCCGAGAGAATTGGCTCAAATCAACATTTATTACATTACCAAAAAAACCTAATACAAGGGAATGTAATGTCCACCGTATGATTAGTCTAATGAGTCACACACTAACAATATTCTTAAAAATTATCCATTTAAGAATTTTCAGAAAAGTGGAACAAGACATCACTGACATCACCCAATTTGGATTTAGGAATGCCATGGGTACACGAGAGGCATTATTCGGATTTAACGTCCTCATGCAAAGATGTATGGATGTAAACCAACCACTCTATGTTTGTTTTATTGATTATAATAAGGCGTTCGATAAGGTCCGACACAACCGTCTTATACAGTTACTTAAAGAGAAACACATTGACAAAAAAGACTTAAGAATAATAACTCATCTCTACTTTAACCAAACAGCAAAAGTCAGAGTCGGCAGAGAACTTTCGGAGGAAGTTAAGATAAAAAGAGGCATAAGGCAAGGTTGCATACTCTCCCCCTTATTGTTCAATCTATATTTGGAAGAAATAATTAAAAAATCACTCGAAAATGTAACAATTAGAATAAAAGTCAACGGCAGACCCATCAACAATATCAGATATACCGATGATACTATACTAATTGCAGAGAATATACAAGATCTACAGACACTTTTAGATAATTTAGTAAATGCTAGTGAGGAAAGCGGACTAACGCTTAATGCTAATAAATCAAAATTTATGACAATTTCCAAAACAATACAACAAGACATTTTAAACATAAGAGGAGTTCCGATAAAAAAAGTAAAAAAACACAGATATCTTGGTACAATTATTAATGAAAATAACGAGTATACAGAAGAAATAAAAATGAGAATTGGACAAGCTAGAGCAACATTTAATAAGATGAGAAAAGTATTATGCTGTAGAGACCTTAGTTTACAACTCAAACTAAGAATATTACGTTCTTTGTGTTTTCGGTGCTGCTGTTTGGGATGGAGGCCTGGACCTTAAAGAAAGAGGTGAGCGATCGACTTGAAGCATTCGAGATGTGGATCTACCGAAGAATATTAAAAATAAGTTGGGTAGATCGAATAACAAATGTTGAGGTACTCAGAAAGATGACAAAGGAATTGGAAATCATGAATACGATTAAGATAAGTAAGTTACAGTATCTCGGCCACGTTATGAGAGGGGACAAATATGTGTTGCTACAAACCATAATGCAGGGAAAAATACAGGCAAAACGAAGTATTGGAAGAAGACGCATCTCCTGGATCAACAATCTGAGAAAGTGTTATAATTGCAGTTCCGTCGACTTGTTCAGAGCTGCAATCTCAAAAGTAAAAATAGCTGTGATGATTACCAACCTCCTTAGAAGAGATGGTACCTAAAGAAGAAGAAGAATATATGTATGCCAAAGAAAAGTAACACAAAAATTTAGACAATTATTTATTGTTTTTATTAACTTGACTTGTCTGTGATGTGGAATATTCTGTCATCAATTATAAATCAGCTTCTGGAGCTAGAAACTAGAAATTTAAAAAATTGCTAAGGACTGAATGTGAATGCTTTAATGTTAAATTATACTTTATAATATTTACTGTTGATATATTCTCTGTTAATAACGCGTTACGTGATGTTTATCGTATAATAAACTTATTAGATGTAAGAGATGAGACATTTAATAAATGTAGTAATTTCTTTTTAGAGTAGCCCATAAACAATATAATCAACTCTTGTGATATTATAGTCCATAATATCTGCTATTGCATGAGATACCAAAAAAATATTTACAAAAATAAAAGGTAGCTGTAAGTTTTACATTTTAAAATTAATTACAAATATACAGGATCTCCCATAATGATACCGCATCAAAAATATATTTAAAATTTACTATTTTTGCTGAGAATAAGCTATAATTTTACTTTAAAATAAAGTTTTTTTTACGTTTGGATTTCCACTTTGGAAATCATTCTCAAAATACAACACATTAATAAATTCAGACATATCTTATACATTTTATTGTAGATGACTTTAAAATTATATTTTCAATATTATAAGTTGCGTTCCTGGGAGGACTTTACTAAAAGATAGTACATTCGATTATATGAAATCAACTTTATAGGCCAATCAAGTTAGGTTTTTACTCATCACAAGTGTATAGACGGGTTTGACAGTTGAAATAAGTAGTATGAGATATTAAAAAAGACTCTCATCTAGGGATTCATGAATTTTTTAGTGGAAATATTTTTAAATAAACAATTAAAATGTCAATATCATTATTTTGCTCATAACTTATAAACTTGTCTATTTAGAGATTTGACGTCTACAGACAAGTTGTTGAGAAAAAAAAAAATACACAAAATGAGATATACAAAATTAAAATCGGTTAATAAACAAAAAAGTTATTGCATAATAACCAAGCAAAACCACTGTTTTTGATTATTGTTAATTACTCTTTTATTAATCAATAAAATTTATTTAAATGTATCTGAACTTAAAGACCTTATCGTGTTCGAAGTGTGTGCGAAAGATAGGCTAGATCCGTCGAATAGTTTTTGCACAATTTAATTTGTTTATTAAGATTTTTTGAAAAATGCACAAATTTCTAAGGCCGGTCCAGATAATTTGACTGAGTGGATCTTAAAAATCCGGGGCTTATTTTCTTTGTTGAGACATATATTAATATCCTATGGAAAAAAAAGTTAAAAAAAATTACGTTTAAGTATACAAAATGATTTAACAATAAATAGCACTTTTTAAGCTTATAAACATTTACAATAACTCCGTACTATTTAGTTTAAATTAAATGGCAATAAAATATTCGGAAAGCTGGTTAAAAAACACAACTTAAAAAAAAGAAAAAGGTCCTGCGACCATTAGGAGCCGAGTTTGTCCTTTTTTTTTAATCACTGTTACGTCAATTAACAACATTAAAGGCTGAAATTAACCAATCTTTTAAAAGAAAAGTCAAAGTTTTTAACAAAATATTTAGCAAACAAAATAATTGAAAATTGATTGAACAGGAGTGTTGTAAACCAAGAGTACTTTGCGTTCCGACTCAAATGGAAGCAGTGGGGATTGCCGATTGCACTCAAGCCGCGCTCTAAAAAAAGTCGAGCGTCGAGCGCACGTCGAAAGCGGTACAACTCATTTTCCTGCGACTATACAACCGGTTTGTTGTATTGAAATATTTAGTGTTTTGTTTTATTTAATAATTGTTACAAATCATTAATGGTACGTAAAATTCATCTGAATATTAAAAAAAACTACGTGTTCTGATATATATTAATATAAACACATGGTTGTACCACGTTGTCTGAATAATATACGGTTAACTTTGAATATAATATTATTTTACTATTATAATGTACTAATATTTATGAAATTATTAATGAAGAAGAAAACGATACAACAGATGAACAAGACATAATTGATGAAATGTATTTAACTGGGTTTGATGAGAATAGCGACAATGAAAATGAAATGATTTATGAAAGTTATAATACAAGTGAAATTAAAGATGAAAGTTAAGATGAATGTTTACATAGTAGTAGCAGTGACGATATAGAAATTAAGCGTAGAAAAATACAGTAAATTAAATTATTTTAAAAAATCACTACACAAAATTTCAACTTCTGTAATAACATAAAATTAATTTATTATTTCATTAATAAATTTTTAGTAAACATTATTCAAAATGTTCATTTACTTATAACAGTTATTTAATATAATCATATTTGAAATAAATAAATAGAAAAATAACAATAAAAAGACGACTCAAGAAAAAGTTTGTATATTCCGTAGTCATTAGCTGCTTTGTTTTGAATAATTTTGCAATGAAAGTACGTTAAATGTTATTATTTTAACGTTGTACCCCAGTTTAAAAAAAAAGAACAAATTTGGTCCACTAGAACCCGAGATATGTCATTTTTTTCCAAGCAATCTATTTTGAAACCGTGCGCTCGACTTTTTTGGAGAGCGCGTTGGAGAGCGCGGCTTGTGTGCAATCGGCAATCCCCACTCCTTCCATTCTAGTCGGAACGCAAAGTACTCTTCGTTTACAACACTCCTGTTTAAACAATTTTCAATTATTTTTTTTGCTAAACATTTTGAGAATAACTTTGACTTTTCTTCTAGAAGATTGGTTAATTTCAGCCCTTAATGTTGTTAATTGACGTAACAGTGATTTTTAAAAAAAAAAAGGAATAACTCGGCTCCTAATGGTCGCAGGACCTTTTTTTTTTAAGTTGTTGTTTTTTAAACCCGCCTTCCGTAAATGTTTATAAACTTAAAATGTGCTTTTTATTAATAAATCATTTTGTGTACATAAACGTATTTTTTTTTTAAATTTTTTTTCCACAGGATAATAATATATGTCTCATCGAAGAAAATAAGACCCGGATTATTAAGATCCATTCAGTCAAATTATCTGGACCGGCCTTAGAAATTTGTGCATTTTTCAAAAAATCTTATAAACAAATTAAATTGTGCAAAAACTATTTGACGGATCTAGCCTATTTTTCGCACACACTTCGAACACGATGAGATCTTTAAGTTCAGATACATTTAAATAAATTTTATTGATTACTAAAAGAGTTATTAACAATAATCAAAAACAGCCGTTTTACTTGGTTATTATGCAATAACTTTTTTGTTTATTAACCGATTTTAATTTAGTATATCTCATTTTGTGTATTTTTTCTTTCTCAACAACTCGTCTGTGGACGTCAAATCTCTAAATAGACAAGTTTATAAGTTATGAGCAAAATAATGATATTGACGTATTAATTGTTTATTTAAAAATAGTTCCACTAAAAAATTCATGAATCCCTAGATGAGAGTCTTCTTGTAATATCTCATACTATCCATTTCAACTGTCAAACCCGTCTATACGGTTGTGACGAAAAAACGCTTATTTTCTACTAACTTGACTCGTCTATTAACTTAATAATACACATTAGAAACATCATAGCATGTGATTTGTATTTAAAAACCAAACCACATGCAATGATGATTGTAAAATTCTCCTATTTGTGATTCCATCGTAAATCATGAGGAAAAAACTTCATGATACTACCTCGACATGGTAAGTATTGGGTCTTTTGATCAGAGTGTTTTATATTTTGCTGCTAATAAAGTAAGTTTCTAGAAATATATAATAGAATAAAATGGAAATATGCTTTATTGTCACTGAAAATTGTACAATTTTATGTACAAAGCTTACAAAAGTAAAAAAAAAGATATAATAACACTAACAATTAAAATTTACTAAAATTACATAAATCGTTAATATCACAGAATATTTATTTTCGAGCAGTGCATTAAAAATTATATTGAGCAGTGTATCAAAAACTGGAATTTATCTGCGCGAGGAGCATGTGCGCGTGAAAAAAATGGAACATGAAGAACAATGGATTGGCGGTAGACTGAACCTACTGATTCTTTTTAAAGCACTATACAGTGCAACAACTAATCACCCTGTACATACGTAAGAGCAGTGTTTATACCTTCAATTAGACTAATAACAGAAAGATAATAATAAATTATTCGTAACTTTAACTAAAATGTAATATTTTACCTGTAAGTAATAAGTTCTGAGGGATGGCTGAATTCCGGAGGCTGCCAGGAAATCATGACCCACGTAGCACTATGACTAGCGACTGCTAATGAATGTGGGGGAGAAGTAACACCATTAACCCATTTGGAAACATCTAAAATGTAATATTATACATCATTCTATAATACACTGAATGTCAGAAAATATAAAAATGTTTTTAAATTTTGCATTATTTCAATCAGAATTGATAAATAATAACTACTTAAGGCGTTTGAGCTATAGTCCTTGTCCATCATATTGGTAGCACATTATGTATGCAAATCCTCAACAGGTCAAAAAAACCATAGGCGTCATCCTATACTTGTTTTGAAATAAATAAAAAAAATTAATATTTTAAGATGCCGTCAACAATTCATTATCTTTTAAAAAATCCTTCACTAATGATAGTTTAAGTAGTTTTTATGCCACATTTCAGCTTATGCCAATAATATAAATTAGAAATTGTTTGCATCTTCCATTTAGTTTGTAGATGTACCTACATTGTTCATGTCTTACCTACCTACGTTTTTGGTGTCGATATTTTGTTATTTGCATTTAAAAATGACGTCGACAACAGGTTTTATCCCGGTTAAGTGTAGTTTTAAAGGTGCCTTCAGTCTAAGAGAGAAAAATATAATATTAAATGTACACGATGCACTCGTTCATCAACGCCCTTTAAGTAATGTTCGTGAAATCGTTAACATGTGTTCAAATATGACAGGGGCTGGAGAAGCATTAATAATAGATTCCTAAAAGAAAGAAAAGGAGAAACATCTCCCAAGAAGAGTGAAGGGAGTAAACCCTTGGAAATTGAAGAAATACATAAAAACATGATAAGACGCAGCGCCCACTCATTTTTTTTAACAAAGAATTTTCAACATTGGACAAAATCCAAATATTAATTAGAGAAAACGAAGAGTTACCAATCATAAGCACCAAGAAATTATGGGGACTATTGAGAGAGATGGGATTTCGTTGGCAAAAGAATAGAAGAAAATCCATTTTAATTAAAAAAGATTACATTATGTTCGAGACGAGATTATCTAAGAACTATTAAAAAGTACCGAGAAGAAGGGAAAACAATTTTTTATTTGGACGAGACTTGGCTAAATGAAGGTCATACTGTACCATATCTATGGGTTGATACAAATGTGAAAAGTTTCCGTCAGGCATTCATCGAAGGTGTATCTACTGGAATAAACAATATTCCCGTTGAAAAAGGACGCAGACTCATAATAACTCATATTGGAAACGGATACGGTTTTGTCAATGGTGTAGTAATAAGTTTTGCCTCAAAATCAACCAAAGATTACCACGAGGAAATGACTGCTGACGTTTTTAAAGAATATTTTGAGCAAATGTTGAATTTAATTCCGAATAATTCTATCATAGTCATGAATAATGCTAGTTACCATTCAAGACTAGCAGAAAAATTGCCAACAACGGCATGGAAAAAAGGAGAGATAATCGAATGGTTGGATAAGCACGCAATCAATATGATGGAAATGGACTATAATATTCATTAGTTTAGTTTGCTGATAATGTTAATTTTGTGAGCCCAAAGAATATGCAAAAAGTTTAACAATCCTACCTCCCGATTTCCATCTGAAACGCTTCTCATAGGGGGAAAAACGAAAATAAATCGATTTGCCAAGAATCTATATGGCTGCAACTTAGCCATTAAAAGCACCCAGTTGGCTATAAAAAAGATTTACAAGCCAACATGGGGATATTCTAACAGCATAATAAGTGTAAGAACTATGAGAGGGCCGGAGAGCGACATAGACCATTTTCTCGTAAAGGCCAAGCTCAGAACAAGAATTTCAACACAAACAATAGATAAACACACAAAGATCGAAGGATGGAATGTGACGAAGATAAAAGAAGAAAATAATCAAAGACAGTACCAAGTAGAATTAAGAAATAGGTTCAGGTTTTGGAAATAAATGAGAATGAAAATGAAGATATAGATCGACGATGGAACTCCTTAAAAACAACTATTACAGAAGCAGCAGAGAAATCTATCGAAAGAACGAAAAAAATAAAAAAGAAAAAATAATTCGTCGACAAATGTGAAAAAACTCTAAAAGAAGCAAACAAAAGAAGAATTGATTATCTGTCGAATCCACCAGAAGAAAAACGTATACGATTCCACAGGGAGAGAGCCGCAGCTATAAGAACACGTCAAAACAGACAAAAAAGAGACAATATCTGCAGCAACAAATTGAAAAAGTAGAAGGAAAACACAGACGAAATCAAAGTAAAAATTTCTACAGAGAGGTAAGACAACATAAGAGAGGCTGGTATACAAGCATATCCAACTTCGTAAGAGATAAAAATGGAGAAATGCTGGCTGCCGAAAACAAAATAATAGATAGATGGGCTAAATATTTTGAAGAGCTCCTGAATATCCAAAATTTCACTGATGAAAACAATGAAAATGGTGAAAACAACGGAGAACATGAGTATCTAACGGTCGAATTAGAAATACCCCCACCAAGCATGAAATAAATTACGCATGACATCATCATCATCATAGTCATTAACATCTTAGTAGATGTGTTGTGGTTCATAATTGGGCTTCAGCAGCTCGGACAGTTTGATTGATAATATTTCTCCACTGGTCGCGGTCATCAGTTATATGTATTGCCTCAGTATACTGTTTATTGAGAAGCTTTTTAGTAATGTCCACCCATCGCTGTGGAGATCTTCCGCGTTGGCGTTGAGTCTGAGGCCTTCCTTGGACCACCAACCGCTCCATTTTGTGATCACTTCGATGGATATGGCCAAAGAACTTTAAAATTCTAGAGTAAACGGTACTGGAGAGACGCTGATCCGGTTTAATTTCATCCAGAACCGAGATATTTGTACGGCGAGCCGTCCATGGAATTCGAAGCAGGCGTCTCCATGTCCACATTTCAAAGGCGTCTATACGTCGTCGATCTGATTCTTTGACTGTCCATGTCTCGCATGCATAGTAAAATATGGAAAAGACCAGAGTTGAAACGAGTCTCTTTTTGTTTGTCATAGTAATGTGACGATCACGCCAGACCCCGTTTAGTTCACTCGTTGCTGCTCTTGCTAGTTGAATGCGTCTTCTAATGTCGGATTCACAACTGCCTGTGTTGTTAACTAGAGCTCCAAGATATATCATAGAAGAGACTACCTCGCATCCCGCAATAGTTTGGGTTTCAGGAAACTGTTGTTGGCGATCAATAACCATGATTTTGGTTTTGTTGTAGTTAACCATGAGTCCAAATTTAGCACTTTCTACCTCGAGTTTTTTTAATAATTTAGTAACTTCTTCTGGAGTAGAGGCTAGAAGTGTAGTGTAGTCTGCGAAACGCAAGTTAGATATCTTAACACCACCTAGGTTTACTCCTCCCTCCCAACCATCCAAAACTCTGCGCATTATGAACTCGGAATATATGTTAAATAATAAGGGAGATAAAACGCATCCTTGGCGTACTCCCTTCTCCAAAGTGCATTTGTCAGACAGATATCCGTCCATTCGAATATATGCCAGGTTATCCTGATACAGTTTGCCAATAAGGTGAGTCAAGTGTTTAGGTACACCCATTGTCGTCAATATGTTCCATAGTTTGCCCCATCTAACATTATCAAAGGCCTTTGTATAATCGACGAAACATATAAATATCGGGATCTGGTATTCTCTGGCTTTTTCTATGATGTTTCGTACATTAAGGATTCTCTAGTACCTCTGCCCTTTACAAATCCAGCCTGCTCAGGTGCTATTGGCCAACTTATGAAGTTTTCTAGAAGCCGTTGCAGTATGTAGAGGATCACCTTACTGGCGTGTGATATTAGAGCTAATAGCCTGTAGTTGTTACAATTATTTGTTAAACCTGTCTTATGAAGAGGTATGATTATGGTCTTTCTCCAATCCTCAGGCCAGACGCCTGTGTGCCATATTTCATTGCACAATCGATGTAATATTTTCACTCCACATTCCGGAAGATGCTTCAAGACGTCTGCAGTAATGAGATCATATCCTGCTGCTTTGTTTAACTTAAGTCTTTTTAAAGCGAATTCCACCTCGGAAGAAAGTATGTCAGGTTCAGACTCAAAACTAGCGTGGTGTGTCTCTGTTGAAGGAGAATGGAAAGTGGAGGTCTGGCAGTCAGGTACAAATGGGGCGTCCGCTGGCATCTGGTCCGTATTGGCGTATAAAGACTTACAATACGCCCTCCAAACATCAATAACCTTGTCCAAATCCGTCTGTACATTACCTTCATCATCTTTGATAGACCAAGATTTCTGCTTGAATTTACGTGTGAGTTGTCTGACTTTATCAAAGAGTTCTTTGGTGTTATTTGTGTCGGCGTGTAGTTGAATTTCTCTGCAGATTTTCTCTATATGCTTGTTTTTGTCTCGTCTACAAGCAGCCTGAATAGCTATAGATAGCTGTCGGTACTGGGAATTCCTGAGAGGGTTCTCGATTCCAGCAATTTTAAGTTTCTAGTTCTAAGTCTACGTTCTTCAACGAGGTCAAAAGTATCTGCAGACATCCACACTTTTTTTGGTCCGGTTGAGACGGCATTAGACTGTGCCTCGCAGTCAGTCAAGGTCTGTATCAAGGTATTTTTAAAAGATAACCAAATCTTTTAGGAATCATGAGTGACGATAGTTGGTAAAATATTTTGGAATCTTTCATTACATTGGATTTTAAACTGTTGTAGATCTTTTATTTTTGATATCCTCTTGTTTCGAATCCTAGCACATGCCTTGAATTTTTGCTTTAGCGTTGCAACAAGAGTTGGTGGTCAGAGCCGCAGTCAGCGCTAGGTCGTGTTTTACATTGGCTAATAGATGTTTTCCAGCGATGTTTAATCATTATGTAATCGATCTGATTTCGGTGTCGTCCATTAGGTGAGATTCAAGTGTACAATCTTCTGGGGTGGTGCCTATACATAGAGTTCATTATTGTGAAGTCATTGTCAACGCAGAACTGGATAAAGCGGTCTCCCCTTGAATTGCGTTCACCTATTCCATATCTACCCACAATATTTCGTATATGTTCGTCAGCCATAGTAACACCGATTTTTGAGTTTAAATCACCCATGATGATAGCGATTTCTTTATTTTGGATATTTT